GTTTTGTCTTTTACTCTGTATATTACTTAGCTTTCTGTTAGGTTAATTTAGTTGTTATAGTTTTGATCTTTGGGCTGCCACAGGTGGTTACCTTCTTGGAAGAACACTTGCTGTTCTTTCAACCATTACATTGGGGACATCAATGGCTGCTCGACATGGTCCAGTAGCTATGGCTGCACATCAGATATGTATGCAAGTGTGGTTGGCTGTTTCCCTTCTTACAGATGCCTTGGCTGCATCTGGTCAGGTAAATGAATTATTGAAACCTTGGGATTATTTTTCTTGTAATTTTATCTTTTTAACATTTTCCTCCTTGTAGTACGACTTCTTGAATTTCTTTTGATCTAGTAATAATACTATGCTGTCTTGCAATGAATCAAGTTAAGCCAACAAAGCTAGATTATAATGAAAAAAATGAAGCCAACATAATTCTGCTGTAGTCATTAGTCTGGCCCTTTGTTTATAGAGAGAGGAAAGAATATGTTGGATAAAAATAAGTTGCTAGAGTGGAAATCGGTGAGAAATAAAATGAAAATTAAAGGTGTTTGGTTGATGAGAAGAGATAGATAGAGTAGAAATAAGTACCACAAAGTACAGTGGGTATTAACATTTCTTAAAATTATTTCTTTTCTTTTCTTATCTGGCCAAGCATCCAATGTTATTTCCATCCTCTCAACCAAATGGAGTGCTAATTAGACAGGCTTTGCTGAACTTTTTGGGGGAAATTTTCAGTTTTTTTGACTTTGACACTTTTTTACATTTTAAAGTCTTCAATTATTTCAATTTTAATACTGTCTTTTTGTTGTACATACCCTTTTTCTTATACATCTATATTTTGTATTATTATTTATAGGCCCTTGTTGCAAGTTCTGTATCCAGACATGAATACAAAGTTGTGAAGGAGATTACTAGTTTTGTATTAAGGGTAAATCCTGATTTTTTTTATCCATTGAATTTTGAGCCTTTAATGCCTTTCATTCCTTAGTTATTTTCAGATTTTATGTTAAGCTATAGTTGTTTAACTATGTCATACAAGGAGATTTTATGAATTATTTGAGAACCTGTTATGAATTTCCAGATTGGACTGGTAATGGGTATTTGCTTGACTGCAATTCTGGGTGCATCGTTTGGATCTCTAGCTACCATTTTTACTCAGGATTCTGAAGTCTTGCAGGTGGTGAGATCATTAGTGTTGGTAAGTGTGTTGCTCCTGATTGATTTGTCAATATTTGTTTGCATTTGTCTGTATCTGCCTCGTGATTCCGCTTTTATCTATGATTGTTGCTAGTTTGTCAGTGTTTCTCAACCATTTAATGCACTGGCATATATTTTTGACGGTCTCCATTATGGTGTTTCTGATTTCCGATATGCTGCTTTCTCCATGGTAAGGTGTACTTTTCTGAATTTGTTATGATATTCTTTCGTGGTACATATGCTTCTCGAGGTTAACCTTTTTGGTAATTGCGTCGTAGATGTTTGTGGGAGCAGTCTCCTCTGCATTCTTGTTGTTTGCACCTCCACTTTTTGGCCTCCAGGGCGTATGGCTAGGCTTGGTTCTCTTCATGGCTCTTCGTTCAGTAGCTGGCGCTGTCAGGTAAAATGGCACATTAATTTGTATGTGTATATCGGGAAAATATGTTGTATACTGTTTCTGTCTAGTTAAAATAAAAATAGTTTGCTCACTCATTGTAGACGTCTAGATGGCTACTTTAATTTTCACGATGTGATTTGTCCTTCATTGATTATAATATTTTCCAATAAATGTTGGGCTAACAACCATTGATCTAATTAATGGTATATAAGTGAAAGAAGTATGCATGATTGATTGAGCTTACTATGCTATTTTAATTTCACTGTGGAATCCTGTATAAGTGCCATGGCTTCAATATCGTTAGTTAAAAGGCTGTTTGAAAATCAGTACCTGAAGTTCACGTTCTTACATTGCTTATCATATCTTCAAGTATTTGCTGATACTAAGAAATAGAGTAATTGAGTGTATTAATTGTCTGGTTGTGCTTTCAATTCTTTTTTTCCTTTTTGGTTGAATCCTTTGTGCTTTTTGTACATTTTCAGATGTCTCTCAAAGAATGGTCCTTGGTGGTTTCTACACAGGGATTTACAAATAGTATAGAGGTCAGTGTCTATTTCTACAATTTCTAACATGTCTTTTCTTTTTGATAGAGTAAAATATGGTTAAAATCATTGCAGGGGTTTATTTTCTCTGGAATTATTAAAATAATATTGTTTTTATCCTTACCTTTTTGTCCTTGGTTTGGTTTATCTGTAGAAAAAAATTTCCTTGATGGAGTGTATTAAAAGCTAGTACAACAAAGTGTGAGCAAGCTAGTATTGTTTTCGGGATGTATGTTAAGGACTTCGTCATTCCACAAGCTGTGTGGTTCAAGATTATTGGATCTAGCTTTCAAAGTTATGAAAAGTTGCAGAGGTTGAAAGGTATACACAGGGTTTAAGATTGTCGGTTGAAATATAAGTGTTTTAGGCAATAGGCTAGTATTGTTTTCGGGATGTATGTTAAGGACTTCGTCATTCCACAAGTTGTGTGGTTCAAGATTATTGGATCTAGCTTTCAAAGTTATGAAAAGTTGCAGAGGTTGAAAGGTATACACAGGGTTTAAGATTGTCGGTTGAAATAGAAGTGTTTTAGGCAATAGGCTAGTATTGTTTTCGGGATGTATGTTAAGGACTTCGTCATTCCACAAGTTGTGTGGTTCAAGATTATTGGATCTAGCTTTCAAAGTTATGAAAAGTTGCAGAGGTTGAAAGGTATACACAGGGTTTAAGATTGTCGGTTGAAATAGAAGTGTTTTAGGCAATAGGCTAGTATTGTTTTCGGGATGTATGTTAAGGACTTCGTCATTCCACAAGTTGTGTGGTTCAAGATTATTGGATCTAGCTTTCAAAGTTATGAATAGTTGCAGAGGTTGAAAGGTATACACAGGGTTTAAGATTGTCGGTTGAAATAGAAGTGTTTTAGGCAATAGGCTTGATTTGCTATAATGTTTTGGTGGTGGAATCTGGGGATTTTAAGACCAATGGTGCCCAGTGATGGACCAACAAGAACTAATGTGGTGGACTAGTAGGTTATACTAGAAAGCATAATATCAGGAATTCTTATTCAAGAGAAAGTAGGAGTAGCACCTGAAGAGATGATAGAAACATAAATATGGTTGTTTGATCATGTGAATCGCGTAGAACATAGTTCGTTTGAGGGATATGAAGTAAGACACTTACTGAAACCATTAAAAAAAACCTTGCTCCAGATCCTCGAGTACATTGACTTTGTTTTTAATCTACGTAGCTGACCCTAACTTATGGGATAAGGCTTTACGTTCTATGATCCCTAGGCTCCATTCGGTGGAAGGGGAATGGGTGGAAGGAAGATAGGATAAATGAGAGAGTCGCTGAAAACACAATAAAAAACTATAAACTTTGCCAGAGAGAAGAACTTCTATTACACATGATTGCTTGTGTTGCTTAATTTACAGCCAGTAGTATTTTCATAGACCATAATTGATTGTGGATCTATTTTTAAACTTTTGCTTTTTTATCAACTATAAACTGAAAAATCTCCCTTTTCACTTTTTTTCAACTACATAACTTCTCTTTTCATTCCTTTCTCATATCTCTTTTCTACTCTATTTATTCTCTCTATCAAATATAGAGCTTTGGTTAATCTTCATTTTAAATGTTTCAAGATGACTTTTGATGTGATTGAAAATGATTTTGACAGTAAATTGCAAAGTGTACGAGGATGTCGATATAGCCTATTGTTCCGTTTCATAATGTCACCGGAAAGAGCGAAAGATAATATTAGACAGCATGATCCTGTCAGTATGCCCATTTATGAAGCGTTAAATTTTGCATCTTTGTGAGTTTATTGGTGAACTACGACTTACCTCATAGCTTTACTCAGATATTGAGGAAAACAAACTGTAATTTATAATTTTTATTTTTTTAAATTAGTATTTTGTGATATTTTTATCTTAACATTCTGGATAGATATTCATTCTACTTTATCTTATATGTTTTGTAACTCATATTTGCAGGCGGTCTCATAAATGGAGGATGTGGATGAAACACTAGATTTGACATTTGAAGACTAATTTTTCCGTCAGTGACTTGGTCTTTTTCGTCGTTCCCGTGTAGAGATAGGCAATTTTAGAATCATTTTCTAGGTTATCGCTATGAAATTAGTCATAAATATATATATGAAAACTCTCTGTTAAGCACATTTTTCACAATCTTTTTTACCCTGTAAAGGAAAATGGTTCAGTTCGGTATTTTCCACTGCCAAACCCAAAACGCACACAAGGTAATGCTTTGTTTTTGTCAAATGTTGTATAGACAAGCAGATATGCCGGTTACAGACACGACTTTAGCCGTGCTTGTTTCCAGTTAGAATCCACGTTCTACACCAATCACCAAGGTTTGCTTCAGCTGCGTTCAACCATGGAGTGTGTCAAACGAAACTGCATAATTTTCACCATCTAATAGCATTTGTTCTTATTTCATTGTAAGCATAGGTGCCCCAGTTTATTCTCCCCACTTGACATTTTAGAGGATGACAAAGGACGAAGCGAATTTCATTAGGTGGAATCAAAGTCATGAAACTTTTGAGACTTGTCGCTTGGCAGTCAAATGCGATTCTTAAGTGTACTCTTGATTATTCACCGAATGTTAATCCAAGGTTCTTTCAAGGCTCGAATCTAGTCTCGAAATACAAAAAATGCACATCTTTTGTTTAGCAAACAATATCACACGGCAAGTACGCATAAAATTATTCTTGGTGTAATACAGGGTGGGGGAAGTAAGTGAAACCACAAACATGGTGAACAATAGAAAGAGAAATTTAACTTTTATTACACAAACTGGCTGAAATGATTTTCAGCATACCGAAAGTGAATTTAGATAGGAAGTAAAATGTTATATATGGGGAAGGAATGTAGGTGAAGGATTGGTATGGTCTAGTCGAGGTTGGCAATGACAGCATCAACAACCTGCTGTGTACTGCTGTCTCCACCAAGATCTTTAGTCATGTACTTACCCTCCGAAATCACACGCTTCACAGCAGTCTCGAGTCTGTCAGCAAATGAAGGAAACTGAAGATGCCTCAGCATCATGGCTGAGGAGAGAAGCAGCGCAACAGGATTTGCCTTCTTCTGCTCCACCTGCTTTTCCTTTCCAACATTTCCAGCCGAAGCACCTTGCTCAAACACAGCATGATCAGCCCCAACGTTTCCTGCAGTGCAATCACCACTATTATCTTAAATCATTCATTCATTCATTCATTCGTTTCTTGCATCTTCTTTCTCTTCTAACCATATTAATATTATCAGTCATTGACAGTATTCAATTACCTCCAGGCATTACACCAGTGCCTCCAGCAATTCCAGCTGCCGTATTAGCCACTAGATTTCCATACAGATTAGGAGTGACCTAAGATAATGAATCACACGGGTACAAGGGATTTAGAATGGATAAAACTAGCTCTTAAGCATTAGAAACTACTAGACTTTCTTATGAAAATTATTGACTGGGAGAATAGCATGAACGAATTAACTAACCATAACATCGAACTGCTCGGGTTTGGAGACAAGTTGCATACAGCAGTTATCGACAATAATCTCGTTGTACTTGATACCAGGATATTTGGTTGCAACTTGTCGGCAAGATTCTAGGAAGAGACCATCAGCGAGTTTCATGATGTTGGCTTTATGGACGGCGGTGACTTTCTTCCTGTTGTTAAGGTATGCATACTCGAAGGCATATTTTGCAATACGTTCGGAACAGAACTTGGACATAACCTGAATGATTTAGTGAGTGAGGGTTAGAATTAGAATGTGGATGACAGATAATGGTAAATTGAAAGAGTGGAGAGAGAAGTTTGACCTTGAGGCTCTCGACAACGCCGGGAACGACCTCGTGCTCGAGACCTGAATACTCGCCCTCGGTGTTCTCACGAATGACAACGATGTCGACGTTGTCGTGGCGGGTGGGCAGGCCGGGGAGGTTGAAGCAATTGACGAGGGAAGCGTAGAGATCGAGGTCCTTTCTGAGCTGAACGTTGAGGGAGCTTACTCCCCCACCCACCGGAGTCCTCAAACCACCCTTCAAGCAAACCTTGTTCTTCCGAATCGAATCCAGAACCTCCTCCGGCACACGCCTCATGTCCCCGTGCACCTCGTACTTCTCAAAGTAAAGAGGGGCGTGCATGGCCTCCATCACCTGCTCCACCGCGTTCGTCACCAGAGGCCCAATTCCGTCCCCCGGTATCAGCGTCACCCCCCGCGGCGCTCCGTCCCCCGGTCGAGGCATGTACGTCACACTCCGTCTCATTTCCCTCATCGCCGCCTTCATCACTGATACTGACATTCTCACCTTACCTCTCACCCCCATCTCTCTCTCCTCTCCGATCTCACACACTCTTTCTCTCTCTAACAACAATCAAAACGAAAGGTCCTCTTTGCAATTTCCACTCATGCCCCCCGAGATAAATAAATAAAGGGGAAGTATGGTTTATTATTACCTTATTTATTCTGAAAGTAAAAAAAGGATTAAAATTAGGGGAAGAATATCAAATGTCAATTGCGAAGAACAGGTACTGGATTCTGAGGCATGGCAAGAGCATTCCCAACGAGCGAGGCATCATCGTTTCCTCCATGGTTTTCTCCATTCCTTTTAAATCCTATCCTTTCCATTGCTTTCTTAGTTTCTGATCTTTCATTCAATCTCAGGAAAATGGTACTCGCCCCGAATTCCAATTGGCCCCCGATGGTGTTCACCAGGCACAACTAGCTGCACAATTGTTCCAAAAGGTATCTCTCCTTCCCTTACTTTTTTCTCCCAAACCCAAATCTTCCAACCTAATTTCACTCTTTCACTCTCTCTGCTGTAGAATTTCGTCTCCAATACCACGCCAATGTCAATTAATTGCGTCGCCGTTTTCTGTATATGCTTTAACTTCAACTCTATTATCGGACTCTTCACAGGAACTAGAGGCGAAAAATATACCGCTTGCTGATGTGCGCATTTGCTATTCTCCATTTTCAAGAACAATACACACCGCTAATCTTGTTGCTTCCTTCCTCAATCTTCCTTTTGATGGTCCCCCGTGTAAGGTGAACCAGAACAACTCAACTACCACAACTGCAACTACTTTGTCAATCCACATTCTGCACTTCCCTTTTCATTCATCCACTAATTTCCCATCCTTCAAATTTCATTTATTCTTATTCATCTCTTAATATCGTATATCTGTACCTCTTTTCCTATTCATCTATTATTTTGCTTCGTCAATTGAGTCTCTTTTACTACGCAGGTGATTGAAGATCTTCGTGAACGCTATTTTGGTCCCTCATATGAACTCTTATCGCATGATAAAGTAAGCCATGCTCAACGCCAGTTTCTTCAGCTGCCTTCTGTTTTTTAATTCGCCTTAATTTATATAAAACATAAAATAAAATTGCTATCCATTTTTGGTTATAGAAATCTTCTATCTTTGGAACATTAATCTTGTTCTGATTAAGCATATCGTTGCCACCATTTAAAGGTTCTGGCGCATATAAGTACTGTCAAACCCTTTAGTTTCCAACTCATTGGTTTCTCCTTTTCATTCATTAACAGTACGAAGAAATTTGGGATATTGATGGAAAAGATCCACTTGTTGGGCCAGGAGGAGGAGAAAGTGTCAAGGATGTTGCGGGTCGACTGGCAAGTGCAATGACCACTATTGAATCAGAATTTGAAGGGTGATGATGTCTTTCTTATGTAACACTATTTTTTTTTTCTAGCGTAAATGTGTGCGAGGAATCTATTGGAGACCTGCAGTTTTTCAAGCTGCCAAAATACTAGTTTAAAATAAGCTGCATTCAGAAATTAGAAAACTTAATTTCTGTTATGAAATTTGATCTGACACATTACTCTTTTGTTTTGAAGTTAAGTAAACTGATTTTGGTAGATTTAATTTTGAATCTTTGTATTGAAACGTGTACAAGACATTAGAAAATGTGAAAACTGATATTCTAATGTCAAAACAAGCAGGTACATAGTTCTTTCATCTGTGGTGTACAAAATATTATTCTTGTCCTTAAACAAAAGGGATATATTCTTATTTCCTTAAGTATATTTTGGTGTTTTTATTCATTGCTAATGTAATTCTGTCTACATCTTGCAGATGTGCAATTTTGGTTGTCAGCCATGGAGATCCCTTGCAAATATTGCAAGCAATTATGCATGCAGCTAATGAACATAAGGAACCCACCTATAATGACCTAGCATCAATACTAATGGAAGTTCAGGTGGCACCGGTCCTGTCCCAGCACCGCAAATATGCGCTGCAAACTGGAGAGCTCAGGGTACTCATTTGAGATTTTAGGTCTATGATGGTTACAAAAAAGAGTCATGTGAGATCCCTTTATGAATTCGTTTTAAAAAACAAACAGCTCTTTTTGTAATATTTTAGGAACAGGGATCTAAATCCGTTTTTTGTGCCTGTCATTCATTACTTTATTGATTATTCGGCAAATAATTTCAATCAGACATAACATGATATTTGATGTGAATTTCAAACAAGGCCTCACGGCTGAACATGTCACTAAGTCTGTAACATCCCGATTATATAATAATAAATATTACATAATAAAGACGTCATCATTCAAATATAGAGAACAGTCAGAATACGACGTGTAATTTAAGTACGAAATTACAGTCATCCAAAATAAAGGAAACTAAAAATTCAAACTTAAACAGTTTAAAGGTTCGAACACTACATGTGTTTAGATAGAAATTCCTAAGAAGACTACTCCCCAACCTCGGTATTCTCCAGCTCTTGCTCCAAAGATCTCTCCTCGACAGCATCTGCTCCCATCCAAGTGGATGATCATCGCCAAAGAAATATATCCAAATTGGCACACAACACAAACAATGCAAGGGTGAGCTAGATATAAAAAGCATGTTATACCAATATCACAGTTAACTTATGCTATCATACATAGAACAAATAAGACATACTTGTTAAACCACAATCACACACTAACACGTCATGCAAAAGTCCTTCAAACCTGGTAAATTGACATCACCCGACTTATCTTTACACTCACATAGTCTGCTGGCACTCCCCAACACTATGCAAGGTAAATACACACGACTCATCTTTACACTCGCATAGTCTGCTGGCACTCCCCAACACTATGCAAGGTAAGCACACACGATTCATCTTTACACTCGCATAGTCTGCTGGCACTCCCCAACACTATACAAGGTAAGCACACACGATTCATCTTTACACTCGCATAGTCTGCTGGCACTCCCCAACACTATACAAGGTAAGCACACACGATTCATCTTTACACTCGCATAGTCTGCTGGCACTCCCCAACACTATACAAGGTAAGCACACACGATTCATCTTTACACTCGCATAGTCTGCTGGCACTCCCCAACACTATACAAGGTAAGCACACACGATTCATCTTTACACTCGCATAGTCTGCTGGCACTCCCCAACACTATACAAGGTAAGCACACACGATTCATCTTTACACTCGCATAGTCTGCTGGCACTCCCCAACACTATACAAGGTAAGCACACACGATTCATCTTTACACTCGCATAGTCTGCTGGCACTCCCCAACACTATACAAGGTAAGCACACACGATTCATCTTTACACTCGCATAGTCTGCTGGCACTCCCCAACACTATACAAGGTAAGCACACACGATTCATCTTTACACTCGCATAGTCTGCTGGCACTCCCCAACACTATACAAGGTAAGCACACACGATTCATCTTTACACTCGCATAGTCTGCTGGCACTCCCCAACACTATACAAGGTAAGCACACACGATTCATCTTTACACTCGCATAGTCTGCTGGCACTCCCCAACACTATACAAGGTAAGCACACACGATTCATCTTTACACTCGCATAGTCTGCTGGCACTCCCCAACACTATACAAGGTAAGCACACACGATTCATCTTTACACTCGCATAGTCTGCTGGCACTCCCCAACACTATACAAGGTAAGCACACACGATTCATCTTTACACTCGCATAGTCTGCTGGCACTCCCCAACACTATACAAGGTAAGCACACACGATTCATCTTTACACTCGCATAGTCTGCTGGCACTCCCCAACACTATACAAGGTAAGCACACACGATTCATCTTTACACTCGCATAGTCTGCTGGCACTCCCCAACACTATACAAGGTAAGCACACACGATTCATCTTTACACTCGCATAGTCTGCTGGCACTCCCCAACACTATACAAGGTAAGCACACACGATTCATCTTTACACTCGCATAGTCTGCTGGCACTCCCCAACACTATACAAGGTAAGCACACACGATTCATCTTTACACTCGCATAGTCTGCTGGCACTCCCCAACACTATACAAGGTAAGCACACACGATTCATCTTTACACTCGCATAGTCTGCTGGCACTCCCCAACACTATACAAGGTAAGCACACACGATTCATCTTTACACTCGCATAGTCTGCTGGCACTCCCCAACACTATACAAGGTAAGCACACACGATTCATCTTTACACTCGCATAGTCTGCTGGCACTCCCCAACACTATACAAGGTAAGCACACACGATTCATCTTTACACTCGCATAGTCTGCTGGCACTCCCCAACACTATACAAGGTAAGCACACACGATTCATCTTTACACTCGCATAGTCTGCTGGCACTCCCCAACACTATACAAGGTAAGCACACACGATTCATCTTTACACTCGCATAGTCTGCTGGCACTCCCCAACACTATACAAGGTAAGCACACACGATTCATCTTTACACTCGCATAGTCTGCTGGCACTCCCCAACACTATACAAGGTAAGCACACACGATTCATCTTTACACTCGCATAGTCTGCTGGCACTCCCCAACACTATACAAGGTAAGCACACACGATTCATCTTTACACTCGCATAGTCTGCTGGCACTCCCCAACACTATACAAGGTAAGCACACACGATTCATCTTTACACTCGCATAGTCTGCTGGCACTCCCCAACACTATACAAGGTAAGCACACACGATTCATCTTTACACTCGCATAGTCTGCTGGCACTCCCCAACACTATACAAGGTAAGCACACACGATTCATCTTTACACTCGCATAGTCTGCTGGCACTCCCCAACACTATACAAGGTAAGCACACACGATTCATCTTTACACTCGCATAGTCTGCTGGCACTCCCCAACACTATACAAGGTAAGCACACACGATTCATCTTTACACTCGCATAGTCTGCTGGCACTCCCCAACACTATACAAGGTAAGCACACACGATTCATCTTTACACTCGCATAGTCTGCTGGCACTCCCCAACACTATACAAGGTAAGCACACACGATTCATCTTTACACTCGCATAGTCTGCTGGCACTCCCCAACACTATACAAGGTAAGCACACACGATTCATCTTTACACTCGCATAGTCTGCTGGCACTCCCCAACACTATACAAGGTAAGCACACACGATTCATCTTTACACTCGCATAGTCTGCTGGCACTCCCCAACACTATACAAGGTAAGCACACACGATTCATCTTTACACTCGCATAGTCTGCTGGCACTCCCCAACACTATACAAGGTAAGCACACACGATTCATCTTTACACTCGCATAGTCTGCTGGCACTCCCCAACACTATACAAGGTAAGCACACACGATTCATCTTTACACTCGCATAGTCTGCTGGCACTCCCCAACACTATACAAGGTAAGCACACACGATTCATCTTTACACTCGCATAGTCTGCTGGCACTCCCCAACACTATACAAGGTAAGCACACACGATTCATCTTTACACTCGCATAGTCTGCTGGCACTCCCCAACACTATACAAGGTAAGCACACACGATTCATCTTTACACTCGCATAGTCTGCTGGCACTCCCCAACACTATACAAGGTAAGCACACACGATTCATCTTTACACTCGCATAGTCTGCTGGCACTCCCCAACACTATACAAGGTAAGCACACACGATTCATCTTTACACTCGCATAGTCTGCTGGCACTCCCCAACACTATACAAGGTAAGCACACACGATTCATCTTTACACTCGCATAGTCTGCTGGCACTCCCCAACACTATACAAGGTAAGCACACACGATTCATCTTTACACTCGCATAGTCTGCTGGCACTCCCCAACACTATACAAGGTAAGCACACACGATTCATCTTTACACTCGCATAGTCTGCTGGCACTCCCCAACACTATACAAGGTAAGCACACACGATTCATCTTTACACTCGCATAGTCTGCTGGCACTCCCCAACACTATACAAGGTAAGCACACACGATTCATCTTTACACTCGCATAGTCTGCTGGCACTCCCCAACACTATACAAGGTAAGCACACACGATTCATCTTTACACTCGCATAGTCTGCTGGCACTCCCCAACACTATACAAGGTAAGCACACACGATTCATCTTTACACTCGCATAGTCTGCTGGCACTCCCCAACACTATACAAGGTAAGCACACACGATTCATCTTTACACTCGCATAGTCTGCTGGCACTCCCCAACACTATACAAGGTAAGCACACACGATTCATCTTTACACTCGCATAGTCTGCTGGCACTCCCCAACACTATACAAGGTAAGCACACACGATTCATCTTTACACTCGCATAGTCTGCTGGCACTCCCCAACACTATACAAGGTAAGCACACACGATTCATCTTTACACTCGCATAGTCTGCTGGCACTCCCCAACACTATACAAGGTAAGCACACACGATTCATCTTTACACTCGCATAGTCTGCTGGCACTCCCCAACACTATACAAGGTAAGCACACACGATTCATCTTTACACTCGCATAGTCTGCTGGCACTCCCCAACACTATGCAAGGTAAGCACACACGATTCATCTTTACACTCGCATAGTCTGCTGGCACTCCCCAACACTATGCAAGGTAAGAACACACGATTCATCTTCACACTCGCATAGTCTGCTGGCACTCCCCAACACTATGCAAGGTAAGCACACAATACTCACAAAACCACTTTCATCCATCTCTCCCCAAGATGTCCGAATCATACTCAATTTCATAAATTTACATTTACAATCAGATCATTACAGTAATTTATCATATTTCTCATTCATTCACACACTTTCACCTATATCACTTCCCAGTATAGATTCTAAACATAGGTACACATAATTCAATTCTAAAGAAAATAAACTTAGACAACAGAATTTGTAGAATACTATTCATCCGAACACTATTCACTCAAACACTATTCACCCAAACACTATTCATCCAAACACTATTCATACGAACACTATTCATCCAAACACATATGGAACGAACGTTACTGAACGAGCGTCCTTTTCAAACACTAGGCCGAATCCCATTTGGCCGAACGTCCCCAAAAAGCTTTGGACGAACGTCATCTAAACCATTTGGACGAACGCTATATGAACGAACGCTAACAACTTTGGACGAACGTCATCAGTATGATTTGGACGAACGCTATCACCCTTTGGACGAACGTCATAAATCGCTAATAAGACCGAACGTTCAGAGATTTCAAACTTAAGATTTATCGAATTAGGACCGAACGCTAAAATTCCAAACTTAGAATATCAAATGCAGGCCGAACGCTTACTTATACAGCAAAACCGAACGTTCAATATCCGAACCTAAGAATACCAACCAGAGGCCGAACGTTAACAATCATATCCATGAACGAACGCTTATGATTGAAACTTAAGGTTCTAATTTAATATCGAACGCTTCAAAGCGAGGATATTCCATCAAAACCGAACGCTCAAGACTTCCTAAAATTTCACTTAAGGCCGAACGCTAACAACCAAACCGAGGACGAACGTTCCCATCAGAATCAAACAAAGGCCGAACGTTGACGATCTAATTAACTTAAGACCGAACGCTCAAAATCATCAAAACCGAACGCTCCAGATTTTAAACTTAAGATTATCAAATGAAAACCGAACGCTCCACATTGCTACTTATAAATACTAAGTTAAAAACGAACGCTCATACTCTATAAGGTACTAAGGCCGATCATTACAGATTTCAAACTTAAAATATTCTATTATGACTGAACGCTTCACATTTACCGTACGATCAAAATCATTATTCAAAGATACCACATAAGGACGAACGCTCATCATCTTTATTAATGCTAAGCCGAACGCGTCAGATTTACTCCAACTTAAGGCCGAACGCTCACAACCCCTAATTCACTAGGACCGAACGCTACGCTTAGTGCGAACGCGAACGCTCGTCTAATTCAAGGCCGAACGCTACACTTAGAACGAACGCGGATTCTCTTAAAGGAGGATGAACGCGAACGCTCGTCAAGTTGAAGACCGAACGCGACAGGACGAACGCGAACGCTCGTACTGAAAACCGAACGCTCAGCATAAAATAGTTGTGGACGAACGTCCCAAAATTGGCTGATTTGAACGAACGTTCAGAGAAATACCGAACGTTCAAAAATTGGTCGACCAAATGGTCGAACCTCGTTTTGGACGAGCGCGCGCTTCTGCAGAATTCTGCAGAATCGCGTGCAGGTTTTCCAGAAACCAGAAAACCCCATTTTTCATCTCCAACATTTCAGATTTGCTTCAAAGACAGTAAAATTCAACAATCAAAACGAAAAATCTAGCTCCCCTTACCTCTTGAAGACTTCCTTGAATCTTTCTCCAAGAGATTTGCAGTGTCTGGATCTCCTTCCAACACCAACAGTTCTTCACTTCTCCTCTCCCAGCAAGCCTTGCACTCATCCAGATGCAGCACCGAACACTTTTCTTGAGTCCTCCTCCAAGACTTGCAGTCCAAGGCCTCTTTGCAACTCCAGCAACTCTGAACTACACTTCCCTCACTAATTTGCAGCAAGAGTTTTCCTTCTCCATTGCAGAACCCATTTCCCCCCTTATATCCCATACGTACCAGCTTGTTGAATGGTGCCAAAATGGGAGTAAAACACGGACGTGCTGCTCCCCAACTTTCCAAAGTCTTCCTCTTTTTATGGCACTAATGTTTCTCTGCTCCCCCATCCTTTTCAAATAATAAAATAATGTAAAGGGGTCCTTACAAAGTCCATGCTTCCGAACATTTAGCAATGGGAGAGTGCAAAATAATATGTCAATGAGTGTGAAGTGTGTAATTTTTAACTTAGAGCATAACTCTTCCCAGTAAACGAAGATGACAAAATCCAACATTTTTCTCCCACTGCCAATAGCGCTATCCTGTGAGGCACTCATGTTTCATTTTTCTTTTGATCACCGCTGCTCTTCCCTCCAACCCAGTAATCGTATGTGCAAAATTTCACCACTGCTTCTTTTCGTTTTCCCATTTGATAGTATAATATCAATTATGTATCTACCATCTTTGTCTCCCCTTACTATATTATACGTGTAATTTATCCTTTGAGCCCAGTAGTGCCTAAAGACACTTAGTTTGGATTGGTATTCTTCAAAAATAGTTTCGATTGATGGGAAAAAAGGGAATGATATGAATTGGATCATAATGGAATATAATAAAATAAAATATCATTTGATTGTTTAAATATTTTATAATGAAATGATACAATAGAGTATATGTTATATTTTTATCTATTGTATATCCTTACTTAAGAAGTATTCTCTGCCCATCATACACAATAAAATCTCCTCTTCCTGATGACCTTCAAAATTATAGGTGAATTGAATATTGATTGAGCTCCATCAATCGATTGTTGCGCTAGGACATTTCTTAGAAGGTTACACAATATCCCTGTCCCAAATCATAAACGAAGGGATTGTGGCATAATATCAATTCTAAACTTCTTTATAGGCTTTAAACAAACGTACGAGATTTACTCAAATTAGACTCATACAATTATTAAGTCAAGAAGTCATTATAATTTTTAAATTAAATATTATAAATATAATACTTAAAATAAGAAGAATGTTAAAAGAACTTACTAAGCATTATAAAATAAAAACTACTGAATGAGAAATGAAACAACAAAAACTTACAAATTGTAATAATAAATTCAATAAAATAGACGATATCAGGTGATTGCATCGATCCATTTGAGAAGTATGTTGCAAGTTTAACTAAAACTATTTACAATGATGTTGGTTTTGGTTTAGGTTTATAGTGGGCACATTTTTTATCTTGTAGAATCTACAAAGAAGCAATTCAACCCACTTCACCTCTAGCCTGATAGGATCAAGATAAGCATATAAACTTCTGAGGTATCATTAATCATGTCAGAGTTTGATACAAAGCATAAATTTGACGACTACACATATTCTGAAAGGAAAGGTTTCATCATATATATCCATCAAAGAAAGACAAGAGGGAGAAATATATACATATACAGCATAGTGCACATCTTTGGTTGTTTGTTAATAATATGGTATAGTTGGATGGCATGTTGTTGCCGGCGGCATGGTATTAATACAAATATGAGTTATTCGGAAGAAGGAACATAAATGAATTGGAAAGCAGGTATATGATAGTGTAAAACCTAAGTGAGAAAGTGGAGACTAGAGTCCCAACCTCAAATCGAGAGTGAGGGGAGGAGAATTCAAGTCGAGGGAGGACTTGGGTGAGTCAAGGAGGAGAAGGTTTTCCCCTTTCTGATTCTCCCAATGACACCTCTTGTGCCCACCAAGTGCTTGCCCTGTGGAGAACACCCTCAGGCATATGCTGCACTTGTGACCATCACCACTCATGTTCATGTTCATGTTCACGTTCTCCTCCTCACACTTCCCGCTACTTCCAATGCCTAACCCTATGCTTACATTACTACCAGTGTTCGCAAAACACCCCTTCACGTTCTTGTGACTCGCACGGTGCCCTCCAAGAGCCTGGTGCGATCCGAACACCCTGTTGCAACTCGAGCACTCGAACTGCCACTGCTGAACCTCTTCCTCCTTCTCTTTCTCTTTCCCTTTCTCTCTGTTGCTGTTGTTGGAATTCGCCAGCAGAAGCAAACAGGCAGCCACCTCTTGGTCTTCCTGGCTCATTATCATCGTCATCTGTTGTTGCTGTTGTCGTTGCTGCTGCTGCTGTTGATGATGTCTTCTTGCGTTGGGCGGAGGGTTGATCCCTCTCCACTGACGCTCAGGGTGGCATCGCATGTGTCCGAAGAGTGCCTTCCACGACCAGAACTTCTTGCCGCACTCCGTGCATGGACGTGGATCGGAGGATCTCTTCCCCTTCCACCCCTCCTCTTCCATTGTCACTATTGTTCTTCTCCGCTTCTTCTCCGCTTCTTCGGCGCAGTCAGAATCCTCCTTCATACCTCAATTCAACCAAATCCAAAACCTTTTTCCAACTGCCTTATGTATCTCTTGACAGTTACAACTTCTCATCAAGCAGTTTCTTTGTATATATTCTTTTTTATTCTTTTTTTTTCTCATGAAAATAAAATATATATTTTTCATTAAAAAAAAAAAAGAGTCAGTTACTTGTCACGTCACGTTGCTTCGTGCATGCTGTGCAGTCTTGCTTTCCTTCCATTAACAACTTGGAACCTCTTTGCCAATAATGACATATAATCGATTTTCTCACTGCATTCTTGCACATCATTGTTTAATGCCGTGACTTTGCACAACAGATCAGGGTGCTACAGAAAATACTGGCAATGGTAAACCTTTCAAAGCAGTTCCCCAGAGAAAACAGCTATCCTCTGTCTCCACTGCTTTGCTTTTAGCACTCGGCCTTGGCATTTTTGAGGCTTTGGCTTTGTCCCTGGGATCTGGAGCATTTCTAAATTTAATCGGTGTATCAACGGTATGTTTTCACCTAAACACACACTCCAACTTATCATTAACACTCCACTTTATGCATGTAATTACAGTACCCCTGTTAAACGTCGGATACTTTTTGTTGTGCTGATTACAAGTCTATTTAACATCACTCTTCTATTTTGTCAAATCATGTGAGTTGTAATCTCCTTTTTGAATTAATTATTTTCAACAGCAAAATCCAACTTATGCTCCTGCACGGCACTTTCTCTCTTTAAGAGCTGTTGGTGCTCCTGCAGTTGTACTTTCTTTGGCTCTTCAAGGCATTTTCCGTGGTTTTAAGGATACGAAAACTCCTGTTATATGTCTAGGCAAGTGATTGACACTTCAAGTTTGTGTTTCTTTGTTAATTTCTCCTTTTAAACCTTTTTTATATATTTTTTTGCTGTCTATTGTATTTATCTGCATGTACTATGATACCTTTAGAAGGATGATATTATACTTGCAATTCATGAATATATTATTATGAGTATACTTCCTCAGATAAATTACTGAAAATTAAATTTCCCATCACTGTGTTCATTTCTTGCTTAATAATCTCCTTCAATATTTGATACGGTCTTAGCCTTTTGACGTCCTTTCTCGTGGTCATGATTCTTGAGAAATTAATTTGAATTTTCTCATGAACTAGGTACTTACGGTTAGAATTGTGGCCTTACTATCTCCTGTTTCCTACTGCAAATGCCTTGCATGTGGTTTTAAGGAGGACAGGAAAAAGATCTTTTCTATCATGTGATAGGTTAATGATAATCTATTGGGAAAGTTATGAGCTAAAGAGTGAATTGTTTGTAAATGATTGGAACCATAATTTGACAAGATGCCAACACTACGTACAATTGAATTAGAGCATGTTTCTGTAGATTACAGAACTCTATTTAAAGTAATGCATTAAGTTCGCCCTGTGATGCTAAAAGAAAATTATGCTTACAGCTTTTAAACTGGATATTGCTCTTGCTGTTTTTCTTTATGGTAATTCCCTGACATCTATCAGGGTCCATGCAACTCTAATTAATGATCAAAACTATGACTGTTATCTAATCTCGAAAATTAATTTTAGATTTTGATAAATTAAGGGTTCTTGTTGTTTTACTTCTTTCAAAATTTAAAATATCTTTCATTATACTGTTGAATGTAAGTTTGTATTAATTTCTCTATGAAATTGCAGGCATTGGCAACTTTTCATCTGTCTTCTTATTTCCCTTACTCATGTATTACTTTCGGTTGGGTGTAACTGGTGCAGCCATTTCCACTGTTATTTCCCAGTAATTCCTTTTCAAAGGCGTTCTTTTCTCCTTCTATTTCTTGAAAGGGTTTATTCCAAATTACGATTGAGTTTTAATACTGCAGATATATTGGGGCCATTCTGATGATCTGGTGTCTGAATGAACGAGCCGAGTTACTACCTCCAAGGATGGGAAACCTGCAATTTGGCAGTTATATTAAATCTGGTGAGGATTTGTCTCTTTCTTTCTGGTATGCGTTCTATTATTACGTGTTACTAAACCCTGAGATGAAAGAATGTGTTTCACTTTCCTTTTAAAATGATTTTGTCTTCCTTGGAGAAATAGGGAAGATAGCATCCAGACACTAAATGCAATCTCAAACACTGTTCCAAATCACTTTCCAAGAAAAAGATCTCACCTCCAATTTTTTTGGTTTTGTATTTAAATTAATCAATTACATACTTCTAAATGGGTGTTATTCTAAAACTTTTTATATGCCTACGTAGATTATTTGTATTCTCCCTCTCTCCATCTCTGACGATCTATCCATCTATGTAGGAGCGATCAAATTATTCTAATAGTAACTCTAAGAAAGTTACTCATCTT